ACTCATCCGATTAACCGGAAAAACTCCCTTTCAAAGGAAAGGCTGCCTCAGATGCCTGATTCCCAGCTCTAAGAATAACCAAGCCCTGCTATCTCTCATGCCAAGGCACCATGGCCTGCTGACCCACTGGCTCCCACATTGCCCTGACCAACTCCCTTCTGCACTGCGGAATCTCACCTGGTAACGGTGCTTCTGCTCGCAGTCTTACCGGCGCTAAACCTCTTCTCGTCCTGAATCCTAATAAAGTAAACAGACAATTAGCACATTCAAAATATGCAACTAAACACCACCCTAATCATGGAAACTTATATTCACCCACGTAAGCACATAACACAAACACTTACGAATTCGTTTCCGGATAATATAGTCCGAGGCGTTACTAGAGTTTCCGGTTAGAAACAGCATGATCAAGTGCTTTCCTAACAAGACTCCCAGAAACCCAAGATCAATACATCCCAGAAATTAAATCATACCATATAGTCACATAAGCATGTTATCAAATAAGCACATAGCATATGTACTACATCTAAGTCTCTATCAAGCGAACAAACCCATTGGATCCTAATCACTTCCCACGTACCAAAGTATTCAACCCGGTACGCTCTGATACCAAGTTGTAACGCCCTCAAAATAATAACAATAAACCAACAAATAAGACATGCATTGATATGTAAAGTTCCACATTCTTCTATTTATCAGAATTCCATTACATATGTATTTACATGTTAACAACAAAGCAAATGCCTAAGGCTTACAGCTTGCCAAGTTCAACGTGGTTACAACAAAAGAGTACTAACTCATACACATTAAGCCTCGTTGAATTTACATGTAATATCATCAAAAAGTAAAACGAAACAGTGTCGCTCTAGCCTCTCAAGCTATGTCCTTGGAGGTGGCATGCTACCTGTACTGAAATGATATTTCCATATTAGGGTGAGCCACAGCCAGTAGAAATACATAAACAACATGAACAATGACTAAAATATTAGCAATTGATAATGGCTAACACTGATACATTCACATAAATCACATATTTATCAATACGACTTATGAGTCAAGTTACCTTTCATTTTCCATTTTTTCAACGGATAGGCATATAAGCACCACCACATTCAAACATATGTATAACAACAATATCCACATTCTCAGATAAGCAAATAAGCTATATCCAATTCTACAACAGATATGTATACAACAATATCCACAGATAAGCATATAACTATATCCACACTTCACAAAGATAAGCATATGAGCTCTATCTTCACTTCTCTGACAAGCATATGAGCTATATCTACGAAGTTCATCCCTATCTGTCTCCCAAACACTATCCGGTTTAGAGTACATCCCATCTTCCCCTAAACCGCGGAGTACATCCCCATCTCATCTCACACAATGCAAATAAACACAAAGGTTCTATATACAATTATCAATACATACAATTAATTATTCATATCACACCGTCAAGTTCCATGACACATTCCATTGATTAGTTTCCGTTTGCCTAATCATCATGCATTGTCTACAACAATCACGACTATCCTCCACCGATACCCAAAGCAGTTATTTCTAAACAGAAAATAAATGCACAATGGATATTCAATCAACATTTCATTTCCTCATTCTCTCAATTAATTATCCCAATTAATTAAACAATGTAATTAGGTCGATTCCATAATATTAACATTACAACCCTTAGGTCCCATATTTCATCAATGGTTCAAACATTTATTCCATTTCTCTCTTCAATCATGCATCTAGGTTTATGAATAAAACCCAACTTTTGTAAAATTACACAAAAATCCCAAACTTCCACAAAATTACCAACAACCCCAACATCTCAAAATACCAAATTTAAAGCACAAATCCATAGAGAGGAGTGATATCCCTACCTCGAAGTTGAGCCAAAAGGAGATGAAGACTCGAAGATCAACGTGTTCCAAATCCCAACTTTTTCAATTAAAACAAAGCTCTCAACGCCTCTATCTTTTTAACAAAGGCCCTAGGCTAGATACACACTCTAGGAGAATCAATTCTTAGAGAGAGTGAAAGTTTAAGAGAGAGTGTGTCGGATCTTGTTTTTGAAAGAAAAAGGGAGTGAAAAATGATGTTTAAAATCGCTACTGCCTGATTATAAAACACGCTCGCTCGAGCGAGACTTTGTCGCTCGAGCGAGACACAGAAAACTCTTGCTCGAGCAAGGAACTCTCGCTCGAGCCAGAAACTCAGAAGTGCGCTCGAGCCAAAGAATGCTCGCTCGAGCCAACAACTCAAACCCTCAGGTCTGCAACCAGAGCACGCTCAAGCGACCAACTCCTCGCTCGAGCGAAGAAAAACCAGACCGCTCGAGCGAAAGAAAAGCTCGCTCGAGCCAAAGAAATACAACTCTCAGGCCAAACCAGGTGCAAACACTCGCTCGACGGAACCACTCTGGCTCATCCACCAGACACAAACTCAATTCTCGCTCGAGCGACAACTCCTCGCTAAGCGAAGGTCCAAAATCTGGGCAGCAACACTAGGCTCCCAAACACAACAACCTGCTAACAACCTGCCCAACACATCCTATAACTCAATAAACAAAGTAAAGAGGATGCAAACTAGATAATAACAACTACAACATCCACGGACACATTTCGGATCACTTACAACAAGGGTTGGTAAACCCGGGATCGCTATAATTATCAAAGCAAAGTTTTCAGATACTGTACGGGAAATAAATAAACCTTCTCGTATAATCCTGTTGATTAAGATTGCGCTCCTCCATATGTCGTCGCTTCACTCCCTGAAAATTCAAACGTGAGCTAGTCGGCGGGTGTGTGCCGGAAACCTCTCCGATGCCTAAGTCAGTTCAATAGACAAATAGACAAAAAGCTCTGTATTCGGGAGTCAAAGTTGTGTTACCTCTCCATAGATGATGTTTGTGAGCTTTTATAGGTTCCGTGTGGTACAATCCTAGTAGGACTTTTACTTCTCCATGTAGAGTCCTCCTAGGATTCATACTCCTGAAAGATCATGCTTATCCTTCAACACCCCTCTCACTGCTTAAACCAAGTGAGATGGTTCTACCACGGCCGGACTACCATTCGACCGAAGTAGCAAGGCTCTGCTAAACTAGCTGGCATGACCGATCTAACTGTTAGTTCGGCCACGCCTTTCCTTTCTTCTACCTCGGTTTCACATGCCGAGGCCATGCTAGATGCACCATGCATCGACCGAAATCTCGTTTGGCTCGCTGCTTGGCACACCATAACTTCTTTCTACCCTTGATTAAAGCTCGAAGTTTAAGGGAAAGATATAGCAGAAAATAGAGAAAAAATGGGACCACACTAGAGATATCAATCAATAGCAAGTTAGGAATGTGAAATGTTGTCAAATTGAAGAGAAACTAAAAAGGGACTGCGAACTTGAAGTTGTTTCAGCTTCTTTCTTTTTTTTTTCTTCCTTTTTCTCAATCAGCTAATCCTACGGATATGAGAAGGGTTGAAACAAAAGTGATTGGATCCCATGGACTTGCAGAAATCAGTGACTGGAAGCAAAAATTAGGACTCGACGGAATGGATAGCGATTTATAAAATAACCCTACAATATAAGTTCAAGGAGATAGCTTTACGAAACACATCAATTGATTGACTCGACCACCGCATATTGTTCTACGAATGAAATCCCCAAAAGTGCAAACCTCAGCACTATATATCCAAGTTATCTGCAAAAGCAGGAAACGAAAACATTGTGAGATCTATGATTAGTAATAACTTAGATCAATGATAAATAAAAACACTGAATTATTAAATTATTGACAGATCAAAACAACATTGGACTTCCAAAAGTTGTAAATGAATTTGGATTTTCACCCTCTTCTTAAATGTACTTCAATACTCATCTTGGTTAACCCTCTATAAAAACTCATCCAAGTCTCATACTACCTTGGTTTCTTGAGAACTAAAACAAAAGAGCAATTTAATAAACCCTTGATTATTAGCAATCAAACAGAAAAAGAAAAGGTGACCCATTAAACAATCAATTTTGACCTAGCAGAAGATGAAACTAGTAAGTATGATTGTGTAGCACATTAGATAATCAAAAACCATAGTAAAAGCATTTCACAATTTAAGGAGAAGACAAAAATAAACCAAGGGAAATGCTAAATTTTGCTCATTAAAGAGAGAATCCAACATCTAACCAAAAGAGAAGCATAAGAATCACAATTTATGGACCTCGATAATGCTGAAAAGTTTCAAACACGGAAACTACAGCAATCACAAACAATGACGTAGCAGAATATAGTTAGTGATACCCAAAGCTTGGTTGGTTGGTGAGAAACCATAGGAAAAGGAAAGAAAAACAACAGAAAAATAAAAGGACAATTAAAACCTCATGTATGTATAATTGTGTATATTGCATACTAGCATATGGCTGAGTTTTTTATTTTTATTTTTTTATTTCAATTACCCTGTACGAGAAACTAAGCGAAATTCCCATAAATTTTCTGGGTAACCAAACAGAGACGCATCAAGATCAGAGAAGAAACGAACTAAACATAAGAAAAAACAAAGGAAAAGAGAAAATCTATGGAAACCCATAACTTTCTGAAGCAAAAGGTCCAAAATCAAGAAAGAAAAAGAGAAGGAAATTAAAGATTCCAAGAAACTTACAGTGAGAGCTCAAGAAGGGCAGAGTTTGAAAAGATCTGATTGTTTGCTCAGAGATCCAAATAGAGAAATCGTTGACTCAGCAAATTGAATCTTAAAATACTGCAAAAAGATATTGAGTAATTAATGACAGGCTATATATATAGAGAAAGACAGAGAGAGAGAGAGAGAGAGAGAAGCTGAGGAGGAGGATGGGAGAGGAGGAATGCTGGCTACCATTATTATAGACTTTCCAAATTATGAAATTATCCTTTTCTTTTTTCTTCTTTTTTAAACACCTTTTCTTTAGTTTTAAAGCAAACAATGTGCCTAATGTCATGCTTACCTTCTCTTAGGCTTCGTTTGGAAACAGGTTATTTTAATAATTTTTTAGTTTTTTATGAAAAGATATATAGAAAAATAGAGAGAGTAATGTAATAACTTATAGTGACTTTTTGACTTTTTAACTAAAATAACTACTCCCCAAACGAGGCCTTAGTATCACATATGTTTGTGCAGTGATTCTACATGAATCTTAATAATATCGAATATTTATAAGAAAAATGATTTTTCCTCACAAATTTTTTCCCCCGAACAGTCTGAAATTTAGAAGAGAAAGAGAAAGAGAGGGAAAAGAGAAGAGAGGGGAAAAGGAGGAGATGGCAACTGCGACAGCCCTTCGCCCGTCGTC